CCGCGCCCCCCGCGCCGCTACCTTCTTCGGCTCCGAATTGCCCGAGAGTCGCGACTGCAGCTTGCCCACAACTTCCAACACCGACTCCGCCATTTTTACTGCTGGACAGGCCTCCACGCCGGAAGCAGCTTCACCGCCCGTTGGCAAACACTGGGTTTCCCGCAGCTCGGCGCCATCTTGGCTCCTGGCAGGAAACGGAAACCCCTCCTCCTCCTCCCCCGGGTGGTCAACAACAACGGAGCGCCATCTTGGATCCTGGCAAGCGACGAAGGCTGGAAGGACCCTTTCGCCATCTTGGGTGCTGGCAAGAAGCTGCTGGGATTGGAGGCAGTTGCCATCTTGAGTGCTGGCAAGAGGGTCCAGTCAAAGCCAGTGTCCTCTTTTGAGGCCCCTTCGGTGTCTTCCTCCAAGGCCAGTGAAGACAGGTCCCAGGCCTTAAAGACACTGGCGTACCAGGGTGCATGCCGCAGCCCTGTGCCCTCACACCCTGCCCAATATGCCTGGCGGCCGTGCACCAAGGTGCACACATCTTCCCCTCCACACCCCACTCCATGGGGGAGCCTGCGCATGTTGGATCTGGGGCTGACGCACTCAGCCAAACGCAGCAAATACAGCACACGGATGCACCTGGACGCTGGGCACAGAAATCCACGTGCCCACCAACAGAGAACGTGGCTTTTGGGCCCCGATCCCGCGATGCCACGTACCAGCCAAGCACGCCCGCTGGCATCACATGGCAGCCCACGAGGCCCGATGCAGAGGGCGGGGAGGAGAGTGCTTCAGGCTGGCAGGCATCACTGCTCTGGGCCTCCGGTGCCATTCCTAGACAAAGCTGTAACGGGTGATGAAACAGGACAGGAACAATGCAATTATTGCAAAATCATGGATGACAAGCACAGGCGGTTCAGACTGAAGGTTATGGTGAAACACCATCGAACCACGCGAAGGTAAGAAATGCGGTGTGAGACGCCCAAACAGCTTCACCGTGGCTCAGCACAATGACGATGACAGAGGAGGGCGAGTATAGGACCTTGAAACTGGTGAGTTCATAGCCAGGACCTTGAAACTCTTCTCTCGTAGCCGGGCTGTTCCCAAATGTCATTCATCTGATCGATAGATACCTTCCTCTAGGTCTTTTAATAGCTGGGGTACCAGATGAAACTGAATTTCACAATCGTGTCAGATATTTTTCCTGCATTTGTTCCCCTCTGGGTGTTAATCCTCATGAGCAGTGTAACTTAATTACAAATGAATTTATGTGGTTATTGTAGCACGGTGAGGAATGGGGTGAGAAAAATAAATTGGAGGTAATTAGAATTAAAATAGCCCTGAGTGTGAATAGTCCCAACAATATTTGCTGCCATTGAAGGGCTGATCGTTGGAAAAAAGGACACTCTGGGCTCTTGTTCTCTGCCAGTGCGTCTACCCAAGTCATTCGTCTGAAAGGGTGAAAAATCACCACTGTGCATCTGGCCAGCACAATAGCTAAGGAGCACTTGAACTCCCTAACCAGGCTCCCGTATGTTGTAAGTGCTGCCTGGATTTCATAGCTGAGCCCAGCACTGGGGTGGAACTCAACCCACGGGACTTTCCCAGCGTCAAGTGAGGAATATATTCTCTGATCTGGAGCTGAGAAAAGCGCATGCACACTTTCCAGGGAGCCCCCGTTTGACTTGGGACTCTCGGTTCTCTGTGTGTCTTTTCCCTGTTTGCTCTGAACGCGTCACCTGCTGGAACGTGCCCGTGGGAAAGGCGTGCGCAAAGTGGGGGTTTCACTCAAACAGCTGCCAGAGGGTAATTTCACTCCGACTGCGAGCTCCTAGCGGTGCAGAGCACCTCTCTTGTGTCGGGTGCAGTGCCCATGGCACCGGGGCTCTGCTCCCTGCCTGGGTCTGCTGTGCTTGTTATTAAGAACAGCGATGCTGAGTGCCAGCGGGCACCCGGCAGGTTCAGTCGCACCGCGTAGACTAGAACGGAGTGGATGATTGATTTTTCTTTACCCCTTTCCTAATGATCGGGCTATCCCGTTCTCCCGCCCAACCTGTCCTCAAACAACCTCTCTCCTGTATCAGGTGCCTTTGGCTGCCTCACCATTCGCTTGCCCTCGTGGTTGGTGGCAGATTAGAGAACAGGCTGCTGTTTATTGCTACCTCGAGCTACTGGCAGACGCGGTACAGATGCATTTGGCCGGTACAGAGCTCCCCCTCTCCCTTAGCCTATCCCTTTCCAGGTCTCTCCGGTCTCTGCTGAGGACAGCTGTCCCTGCGTCACCACCAGAAGGTTGATGTAAATGTTGCTGTGATAAGAGCAGTCAGCTGGCCTGCCCTGGCAAGGGGGAGGATGTTGCATGTGGAAAGTTGAGGGTCTTGCAGTCTGTTCACCCGCAGAGCACACAGGCTCTGTCCTAGCCACAGCCCCCGCTGGACTGACCAGTCTTAACATCAAGGTAAGGAGCAAAGAGAGCTTCCATCTCTAAATTAAACTAAAAACCCAGAGCTGGCCCTTTTGTGCTTCAGTATTTACAGAGAGATCGTCTTGTTCAGGTCACCAGAATGTTTCATTTGATTGCAAATGGAGAATGCTGGCATGGGGAAAGTACCTTTGTTTGTCTTTATTTTTTTTAAAGAAGGTGGAAACAGAAGACAGCTTATTGAAGGTGAAAGAACTTGGAGATTTGGCTTCCAAATCTTTTTTCCAGGAAAGGTCTGTGTTGATTTTTTCAGCTCACACCATTTTGTTTCCACGGCACTTGAAGGGCTCAGTTGTTTTAATACTAATTAAGACTGTTTGATGAGACATCAAAGAATATAATTTAGACGTCAAATACTGATGGGTATAATTTCACCAAGCCCAGATTAATCTTTACTGTTTGCTTGGCACCACGCTTAGCTCGTCATCATACTGGTGCAGAGATGAGATAAGCAGGACTGAGCCGGGAGGGGAGAATTACTGACTGTTTCCAAAGTTTACACAGAACAATCCTTACATCTTACTTTGCTGTCTGCACCCTTTGAAATCTCATCAAACCATTCGAGCTTTGCTTCCTGGGGATTAGTCTGCATGAAAGATATTCCCTTTCATATAGTGGATACTGTGATCAGAAACAGCAAAGCTGCCCCATATTAAATGATCTGTTTTTAGCAAAGGTCATTTTGCACTTAGGTACCTTATCAGCATTAACGCACATTTTTCATCTGGGATTTTCCAAAGGGGTCTGACAGAGGAAAGCAGCCGTAACCATGCACATTCAACAGAAACCAGGGCCCAAGCTTTCTTGAGGTCCCTTTGCAAACCCCAGCCTTAGGCAACCTGCTCCAAGTTTAATGCGCTTCAAACACATCTCATTCCCTCCACACACAATTAGCTCTGGAGGGCTTGGGACTTGGGCATGTTATGCAAGGGGAAGCTGAGAGTGGAACAGCTATAGGTCTTCTGAAATCAGTCGCTGTGTGAACACCTGCAGGGTCTACAGCGGCAGGTATTCCACAGCGACTCTAGTGTTTTATATTCATAGCCTCCCTTACCCTAGAATAACTTCCCAGTGCAGACAAGGCCTTAGGTACCTTACCAGCAATGTGTTTCATTAGAGATATGCGGGAACAAGGGAGATTAACTAGCAAAACCAGGCCATTGAAGGTAGATGGTAAAGTTCATTCTCCCTCTAATTTAAATGTAATGCAACGATGGGATAGAATAAAGCTGAAGGAAACTGGACCAAATTAATTTCTGGATATAAATCGTGTAAGGCAGTGGAGTCGCCCCAGGGATGATAGATGGGGCATATATTGCCCCTGGGCTCCAGCCAGGTATGTCTTAGTACAAATCAAATCTGTCAAAGGAGAAGTCAACGCGTGCTGCTGATAATGGAGAAGGAGTGAGCAGGTGGGAGGGAATGAACAAGGCTTCTGGGGCTGGAGCTTCCAAAGAGCATGTTAGAGACCACGTTGTCTGGAAAACCTGGCCCAGGGCTGTGAGTCAGCTCTTCTGCTGTGTTTCAAATGCTGGTAGGGAAGAGGCCTGAGTATTGTTCTCATGCAGCTTATCCAGGTGGGTTTGAGCAAAGGCGCATATTCAGTCCCCTGCTCTGCTCCCACACACTGTGTCAGGGGTAACCCCAGCTTCCAGCTATTTTTTTTTACGAGACTGTTTCGTGTTCCAATCCAAATCAATTCCAAATCCGTGAGTCAGTCCAGAACCATAAGTGGCCCTACTACCAGCAAACATCCTCCACCCCACCTGGGATGGAGGATGTTTCCAAATCCTGGAAACACCTGGGATGTTTCCAAATCCTTTGGCAGGTGTCCTATGTGCAGGCCCAAGCCCGGAGGCTTGGGGTGTGGATGCTCCCGAGTTTCATTCGCCCTCAGCCATATGGGCCCCAGGAGCAAGCTAGGGAGCAGTCTTCCTTTTCCATAAAGTGGGCGTAAAGCCAAGATCTTCCCACAGGTACTACCCCATGCCAGAAATGTGATTATCACCTGCCCCTGGGAAAGCCACCGTGGTGATCATGGTATTTCCCCTGCCAGGTCATTCATGTCTTTAGCTGGCTTTGCAGCTTTGAGCAATGGGGACTGTACCCGCATTGGGGCAGGGATGGCCCGGGAAGGGCAACAGACTCCACAGAAGGTGCTCAGATACCAGGTGCTACAGAATAGCAGCAGCTTCCCCCACTCCACCCTGTCCATGGGTGTGGCTTCTGATGTGGGGGGGACAGCCTTTCAGGGTGAAAGGAGAGTCCAGTCCTTGACTCCTTGGCAGAGATGGCCGAACTGGGCTCCCATCTGGGGAGCAGCTGCATTGATTTGTTTAGTGCAGACAGGGGGATAAAACCTGCCTCAGTGGGCAGTGTCCAAGGCTCCAGATGCTGCAGGGAGCAGATCAGAACACAGAGCTTCTGGTCCCAAAGACCGGCCAACATTTGACCTGTTGGAGAGGCTCCAAAATTGGAATGAAAAGCTAAAATGTCACTGTTCCCCCTGGAAAAGAACATCTGGAAAGCATCTATTGGGAACCATCAAACACGTTGTTCTGCGAAGGGAAAACCATTTCCCTTCCAGACTGGCAGTGGCAATGCATAGGGGGTGCACGTGCACCCCTTAAGAGCACTTGTGCACCCCTGACAGGCAGGGGGGGAAGGTGGGACTGCTGGTGCCCCTCCCTGTGAGTGCCGGCAGGGGAGTGGGAGTGCCGCGGCCACTTCTGGGAGTGATTGGCTGCGGGGGGACCCCCCAGTTGGCATGATCAGCCATGGGGGAACCCCCCAGTCGCTGGCTGGGTGCTGGGGGGACATGTGTCCCCCCTGACTAAGGCGGCACCAGTCGCCCATGCAGACTGGTATAATAAAAATGATTCAATGACAGTCCATTGTCTCATGTCTATACATAATACATATCATTATGTATTATAACAAGACCTAGTGTGTAACATTATATATATTAATGCATTCTATGTTGTGCATTGTATACAATATAATGCATAATATAGATTATGTTATAGCTAACATTTATATGTAGCATTATATATTACGTAATATACATTACTATATATATACACACACAACTTTATATATACCAGTGTTGCATTACATACATAAACATAATGCAATATTCAACTGAATGATATCACACAGAAGTCAAAACAAAATGGACCAAACCAATAGAGTCTGATCAAAATGTCTTTTACTGCGATGAACCAATGTGTGGCGATGACTGAAATCAAACGGGGAAGGATCAGCCCCCCTCACTAGCCTCAGGGTGAATGGAAAGGCTAACCATCTCAGGGCAAGCCCTGGACCACTAAAAGTTAACAGTAAAGCTTCCATGGACTTCATATGGGGATTTTGCTGCCTGGAGGGTGTGCACACAGCAGCTGTGTTGCAGGCTCACTCAGTGGCCTGTGAGTTTAAATTTGGATGTTGTTAAAGTCAGAGCTGCCCAAATGACTTTCTTCTGGGCACTTGGAAGAGGCAAATCTGCTCCCTTCCCTGCAGCCTCAGCTACCAAACCCACCTTATAGCCGCAGGAAGGAGGGCTTACTCACACGGGACCTTCCCCTGCTGCCCTCTGCATCTGCCTTAGGGAACTCAGAAGCAGGTGAGGGGACAGAGGGAGAGCTCCACCTCCTTCACATTTCTGTTCCACCTGCCCCAGATGTGAGCACAGTCCCCATCACCTCCCCACCCTCCCTGCTGTCAGCTCAGCCTTCTCTTTGCAGAGGAGTCTGTTGCTAGGCTTTCCCCTCTCTAATTGTGCATTGAATCCTGATCTGCCTGGGGGAGTGGAGTGCCCACCTCTCACCTCCCCCTGCCTCCTTCTAAATAGGAGCTGATTACTCAGCTCTCCAGAAACCCAATCTTTACATCCCAGTGCAATAAACAGCCTGAAGATATGTGAGACAGAGACGCAGCAGCTATTTCTGGCCAGCAGCACATGTGCTACTCAAGCATATGAGTCTCTCCACTGGACAGAAATAGTCAGGGGACAGCCGTGGTGCTTCGAATGAGTGTTCAGGCAAAATTTTACTGGGGGAACAATCCCAAGGTGTTTTTGTGGGTGCATGTGTTTGCTCTTACCCTGGCAGGGGAATGTGGTCTAGCAGCTTGGACCTGTCACCTACCAGCTGTGGGCTGTCTGTCCTAAGGCAAGTCCCCAACTTGAGAGCCCAGGCACTCCTACTAAAATGGAAAAAAAATAGCTTCCAAATGTTTCTGCAGTATCGACTGTGACGTGTTCAAGTCTATTCCTGCATTGAATTTGGAATAATCAAAACTGTGGTAGTTCTGCAGTGACAGCCCACCAGTGCGTTCAAAGTGAGCTGCGAGTGTTTGCTCCATTTCTCACTGACTCAGCGAAGGCTGTAAGTGCTATGAACCCCTCATGTAAAAGGAGGCACAGAAAAGTTCAGGCCTCGGTGTTCTGCTGAAGCCACTGATTTGGGGCGTCCAACTTGAGGCACTTTGGGCTGGGCACTCAAAATTACTGTCCGTTTTTAGGTGTTTGAAGGTGGGTTCCCCTCAGTGGAGGGACCCCAAATTAGTTGCAGGTGTAGGTAACTTGCCCTGAATTAGCAAGTGAGTGTCCAGGTCTGGGGTAGAACCAAGGTCTCCCGACTCCCAGCTCTGGGCCTCAATCCACTGGATTTAGGTAAATAAAAAAAAAAGTGAGTGATTTTTGGCAAAGAGCTTCCATTCTGTTCACCAGGCCTGATCCTCAGTGCATTGACATCAAGGGAAGTCTCTCCACTGACTTTAAAGGCTTTGGGTCAGACTGCAGATCTACACCCCCCTGCCATTTCTTGTAGCATATCTGCTGTTTAACAGTCACTTGCACACAGCAGCAGGGTATCTATGGTGCCTCTCACTGCAACAGCTCCTAACTATTCCTGTTCTTACAGACCACCACTCCCATCAAGATGGCACCCAAGAAGAAAAACCCCAAGAAGACCAAAACAGAGAAAGGGGAGGCGCCCATTGCCCCCGTGGTGGTGGAGGACACGTCACTGGATATCGACCACCTCAACCACCTCAATGATCTGTATGAAAATGGCTCCAATGGCTTCCGCTGCACCGCCACAGAGGTCACAAACCCAAGCCATGGCGCCAGCCTGCTGGCGGAGATGACTCAAATGCGCCAGGAGCGGTTCCTCTGTGACCTCACGATCGTCGCCAAAACCAAGTCCTTTGACGTTCATAAACTGGTCATGGTGTCCTGCAGCGAGTACTTCCGCAGCTTGCTGAAGAGAGATCCCAGCCTGCAGCGGGTGGAACTCAACGACATCTCCCCTCTGGGCTTGACCACCATCCTCACGTATGCCTACACCGGGAAGCTGAGCCTGTCCCTCTACACCATTGGCAGCACCATCTCCACTGCCAGCCACCTGCAGATGCATGCTCTGCTCAGCATGTGCAGTGACTTCCTCATCCAGGAGATGAATGTGGAGAACTGCATGTACATTGCCAACATCTCAGCCACATACAACCTCAACCAGGCGAAGGACGCCACCCAGAAATTTATCCGGGAGAACTTCCTGGAGTTCTCAGAGACTGATCAATTCATAAAACTCACCTTCGATCAGCTCAATGAGCTGCTGATGGATGACGGGCTACATATCCCGAGTGAGATCATCGCCTTCCGGATTGCTATGAAATGGCTTGAGTATGACTCCAAACGAGTCCAGTATGCTGCCGACCTCCTGGGCAACATACGATTTGGCACCATATCAGCTCCTGATTTGGTCAACTGTGTCCAGCCTGTGCCACGTATGATGCAAGATCCTGAGTGCCACAAGCTGCTGGTGGATGCTATGAATTATCATTTGCTCCCTTATCAGCAAAATACCCTTCAGTCCAGAAGAACCAGAATCCGTGGAGGCCAGAGAGTGTTGGTCACTGTTGGAGGCCGCCCGGCCTTGACTGAGAAAGCTCTTAGCAGAGATATTAGCTACAGGGACGCGGAAGGGAACTGGAACAAGCTGGCTGAGATGCCAGCCAAAAGTTTCAACCAGTGCGTGGTGGTGATGGACGGGTTCCTCTACGTGGCAGGAGGGGAAGACCAAAATGATGCTAGGAATCAGGCCAAACATGCTGTCAGCAGTCTATGCAGGTAACAAGAGTTTCCAAAAGGTGGGGTAGTTCTTAGGGGACTTTATTGCCAAAAGAAAAGCACTCTGTTTTCCAGGCCCATGGCTGCATGCAGACCTGTTGCAGGCATCAGCAAAGACTGACTCCGGGATCCGGAGCACAGGCCTCTATCCCATGAGCTGAAGGAGAAAACCCCTTTTGATGTGAATGACCTGTAGGGTGTTATAATCCTGAGACCTAGCTGCCTGGGAGATTACAGAGTAAATCACGGTATCTTCCAGCACATCGTTCTCCAACATTTTCAATACAGATAAACAAGTGAGAGTAAATTAAGGGATAAACCAGTCAGAAACATGTGCTGACCACCCAGCTAGGAGAGCAGGTAGAGGTAAATGTGGTCACGCTGGGGACTGTGCTGTTAGAGAAGCAGAGCTGGCCAGTGGCGATGGCTCTGGACTAGAAGTCAGGAGACCTGGAATCGATTCCCATCTCTACCACTGACCTGTTGTTTGACCCTGGCAAGTCACTTTGTCTCTGTTTTCTTTCCCACCCCTTGCCTGTCTTGCCTGGTCCTCAGTTCTGTGGTGCAGTCTCTGACTATAAAGCATGTAGCACAATGCAATCCTGATCTCAGCTGAAGCCTGTACAAATAACACTATTGCCAGTTAGTCAGACAGTGAAGTACTCTCTACTTTTGCATGCGTTTAGAAGGATAACATTTCTCTCCAGGCTGGAGATTGCTTAGACCTGTCAGAAGAACTTCTCAGTTTGCATTCTGCAGCTGATCTCCAACTGAGCTGAATTAATTAAACTCAAGAGAGTTTCACTCTCGGGACAATTGCTATATTTTTCCTCTTCCCTTTTCTTTTCTGCCCTTCCTTTACTTGCCAGATGAAGTGGTGGGGTTTGTTGCTCAGAAAGTTCTCATGAAGCCTATGATGGGACCATGCAAACATCATTATTAACAACAGAGGAGACAGGTAGCCGTGACAACATTAAAGGTTGTATTTCTTTAGGTGCCCAATCGATACTGCTCTTGCCTTCCAAAATTCCCAGTTAAGGGCTCTGATGCTACAATGGAGAATGAGCGCAGCTAATGAATTAGTCTTTTGTTTCCCTGCAATCTGTGCTTATGTTCCAGAGCAGCATGAGTGGGTTGCTTTCAGTCCGACCCTTGAGGGACTTTTTCTCTCAAATCACAAAACCCTCTGGCAGGAAGGGGCAACCTCCCAATCAGCTTGTGCTGGGAGAGGGGGAGAGAACAAACTCAGGCGGCAGAGATAGTCCTAAGGGTCATCCAGTCATAGGCCCAGCCCTATTATGCGAGGCATGTACACACAGAACCAAAAGCTGGTCCCTGCCTGGGGACGGTCCCCATCACTCACTGTAGTAATGGTGACAAGGGTGATGGGAGAACCCCTCTATGGTGGATGAGGTCAGGGAACCAAATAGGAAGGACTTCTTCTAGGTCAAGGGCAGGGGGTCCTGCCAGGAGGGTTGGAACTCTTCCAACTCAGGGTGGAAAGGGCAGACTCGTCCCAGGCCTAGTCACAGAGAAAATCCATGCCGGGGCCAGGTGGTCTGAACTTGCCTCACCCAGGTCATTCAGTGCCACTGCCCTCCCGATAACACCAGGGCTGCCTTGGCCCTTTTGCTGAGACAGGTCTCTGGGTCCCCGCTGGCAGACCTCCTCCGATCTATTTCTAGCCTTTCTGGCACAAGCCAGGCTCTGCTCAGTTGCTTTCCAGTCCCATCTGCTGGGATGGGCTGAGGCTCTCGTGGCAGGAACATGTCCTGCCAGGGCAAGAGGGGATGACCAGGTTCTCAGCTCTGTGCTCCTTGTGGCTACTCCACCAAGATCCCAGGGGGTAGTTTTGATCCTGGGAGACCTGAGTTGTGAGAGATGCCTGAGGGTCACTTATAGTCCAGGCTAATGGCTTGGAAGGGTAAGAGTGAAGTCTTTGGTGTTCCCAGGCTTTGAGCAGGCCTGAGCCTGGGGGCATGTAGACTCAAGGCCCCTCTCCCCCTTCTCTGCAGGTACGATCCCCGCTTCAACACTTGGCTGCACCTGGCCAGCATGATGCAAAAGAGGACACACTTCAGCCTCAGTGCCTACAACGGGCTCCTCTATGCCATCGGCGGGCGCAACACAGATGGTGTCCTGGCCTCCATTGAATGCTACGTGCCTTCCACCAACAGCTGGCACGGCCAGGCCGGCATGGAGCTGCCTCGCTGCTGCCATGCCAGCACGGTCATCGACAACAAGATCCTTGTCACTGGCGGCTATATCCACCATGCCTATTCCCGCAATGTGTGCAGCTATGAGCCCAGCACTGATGCCTGGAGAGACCAGGCTGGGCTAGGCACACCCAGGGGCTGGCACTGTGCCGCCACACTGGCTGACCGTGCCTATGTGCTGGGGGGCAGCCAGCTGGGCACCCGTGGGGAGCGTGTGGACGTGATCCCAGTGGAGTGCTACAGCCCCCACACAGGCCAGTGGAGCTGCGTGGCACCAGTGCCCATTGGAGTCAGCACAGCGGGGGTGACTATCCTTGATGGGCGCATCTGCCTCGTGGGAGGCTGGAATGAGAGCGGGAAGAAGTACCAGAAGTGCGTGCAATGCTACGACCTGGACCGAGATGAGTGGGCCGATGACGAGGACCTCCCCGAGGCCACCGTGGGTGTGTCCTGCTGCACCATCACCCTCCCATCCCTTCGGAGCAAGGGGTCCCGAGCCAGCTCTGTGGCCTCAGCAGCAGTCAGCATCTAATAGGGCAAATGGGGGGCTGGCACTTCCTGCCTGCAGCCCAGGACAGAGACTAGAGCTCAAGCCTTGCCTCAGATTGTAGGGCAGCTGCGATCAGGGAGCACGAGGACAAGAACCGTCACGTGGGGGATGGTGCATCGGGGGCACGGGGTGGGGATAGACACAGGGTCCCAGGAGCTGGGAATGCCTGAATTCTCATCCCAGCTGATAAATTAACCCCTTCTGTGGCCTTTGGCAGGTCACTGAACCCTCAGGAAAATGGGGATGACCCTTGCCCGTCTCTTCAAGGGCATTTGCCAAGAGGAGCACTGAAGGAAATCTCCCCATGATCATCCCTGCGGCTCCACTCTGCACTCAGTCCCACCCCCAGCTGCAAAGCTCTCCCATCCCTGCTCCAGCTAACAGGTGCTGGATCCAAGTGAAGATGTGTGGCCCAGGGGCTGGGACCTCATCTTGCCCTATGGGTGACAAGGCTGCAGGCCCCCTTCCAGGGGAAACCCCCTCAATGTGTGACCCTCATGTCATCGAGCCATACATAGGCCTGCAGAGCTGGAATGACCCCCCAGGCCCATGATCTGTGATAAAGGCACTGGTTGGGCAACTGGTTAAACAGTCACTCTCTCAGGCTAAGCCATGCTTCCTTTCAGCAACATGGGGCAGCTCCAGCCCAACTCCAGAGCCCAGTCACAAACCAGCCCATGGCCCAACAAGCGAACCAAACCCCTGGCAAGGCAGCACACGGTGCCACAATGGAGTCATCAAGCACAGGCCAGGGCTACCCAACTCTTTCCATCCCAAGTCCAATTTTTGTCTCCCATCCAACCTGCGGGAGCTGGCAAGGTCTGGGAGCAGGTCAGCAAAACTGACACAAGCACATTCAGATCCTGCTGCCAGGATCACATAGATAAATATCAGAGCACGGCTCCAGCCGGGGCTGGCAGAGCTTTGACGTTTGCTGGAGCGTCGGGTTTCCCTGGAACATGCGCTAGTGATTTGCAGCCAGGCAGGTGCTCAGGTTAGAATAGGTTTCCCCCAGTCCAGTTGTGTTTAAACCAGATTTGTTCCAACACTGCTTCTGAATGACCCACCATCCTTTGAGCACAGCCTTTCATTCCCACTTGCCAGAGCTTGGAGACCTCAAGCAATGGCTCCTCTCTGCTTTGGATTCCTCCAGTCATGCTGCAAGGAGGCAATATGGCCCAGCCGCCAGTCAGGGAGTATAGCTCCCATTGCGAGCAGACGCTGACTTACTGTGCAACCTTAGCACAGCACTTCACCCTCCTCTTCTGCTGTTTCCCCTGCTGCAGGAGACTAAGAAAAGCATTTTCCTTCCCATAAAGTGCACTGAGCTCCGGCAGGTGGTATAGTAACAAAGCTACCTTCCTCAGCCTCGCTCAGGGTCAGGCTGCCACAAAGGGAGATGCCTGGATGGCCTACAGCAGTGCACAACAGCCTGGAATACAGCTAAGAGGAAAAGAGGGGTTCTTCCTGCTTTAGACCCATTATTTCACTAGGGGTCTTTAGGTTTGCAGGGGTCCAGAGTTAAGGGGGAAAAATACCACTCTCACACACATCTAAGCTTGGAGTTATTCTGAAGTCTCTTCAAATGTCAATCAAGGCAAGTTTTGAGCTCTAGGAGAGTATATTTTGGGCTGCCAGTATCCCAGGCTGTGCATCACATTGTGTTTGAATTCCT